AGCAGCTCTGTGTTCTCTGGGCCTGAGGGCTCTCTCCCACTACTTCCTTATTGGATATGGGGCTCTGGAGGAAAGCTAGCTTTTCGTCTCCATTTCTTCTTTCATCTTATGGGGAGACTCATCTCAAAGGATGAATCACAGATAGAGCTTTTAGCAAACACGATGCTGATTCTGGAAGTACAGAGCCAGGTATGTCTGTGAGGGAGGGATCCCTCCATTCAGAAGCTTTTGCAGCCCTTCCAACATATAAACTTGACTTAAAATGAGTGGATATGTGGATGTGTGCATACATTGAGAAAAACAGACACAAAATGCACAGCTCGCCACCCTGGGACCACACCACCTCCATATGGTATTCTAGGAAATATCATACCAGCTGCAGTCATTCTAAGGCACAGAGCCTCATCTCTGACAAGTATGTCCCCGGTGGGACCTACAGCACTGGCTGACATCTGGGTAGGACTGTGTTCTGTAGGTGGGCAGGCGGATGCCACGGTTGGGGCAATTCTTGTGAAAAAAAGTAAGATTTTGGAGAAAGACTGGACCTCTTACCTCTCTACTGTTAACTCCTTTCCATTTCTTTCCCCTCGATACTCCCAAATTATATATACTTGACCATGAGGTTTTATTTTCTTCTTTTTTAAAGGCATTCTTTTTAAAGTGTTTATTCATTTATTTTGAAAGAGACAGAGAGAGTGGGAATTGGGGAGGAGGAAGAGAGAGGGAGAGAGAGAACCCCAAGCAGGCTCCAGACAGCGTAGAGCCCCATGCGGGGCTCGACCTCGTGAAACCCCGAGATCATGATCTGAGCTGAAACCAAGTAAGACACTGGCTGAGCCACCCAGGTGCTCCTTTATTTTTTTCTACGTTTCATTTGCCACGTGTTAAGTATTAATGCCTGTCAACAGACACGAAGCATGCTGACCAGTGGGCAGGAGCCACATAGCTGATAGATAGTAGAACAAGGGTTTCCACAGATCCATGGCATGTGGCCTTCACCTCACAGCTTCTGTAGTTTCCCCTTTCTAAACGGGGGCTTGGGTCTCCGTTAGGTTAGGGCAGCATAATGACATCTTTAGAACTTCAAAACTCAGGAACTTTATGTAAGAATCCGGTGGAACCAGCGTGCCATTCTGAGTCTCCAGGCCCACCTTACAGGACAGGATCACTGCTCTGCTCTGGGGTCCATCTGCTCCCTCTTTGTTGACAGTTGTGGCCAAATCCCTGGGCAGTGGTGTCTGGGTTGCCAACCCCATCTAAACAGGCCTTCACAGAGGTCTAGGGCAGGGGCTGGCGGCTGTATTCTGATGTCCAGGAATGGCTCCTTCATTATCATGCCCTTTTGCTATTATATACAATATTGTTAGAGCTGAAACCAAGGCTGGGCCTCCAGGGAGAACTCTCAGACCCACACTGCCTAACTGGCTTCCCAAGGGAATCTCTACCGTGTCCTGAAAAGTAAGGAAGGCCACTTACAGAAGCTAGGGTCAGGGATCATTCCTGCTGCCACTCCCACGGCCACAATTGCTTCTTGACATCCATGACTCTGGTGACCAGACATTGCGGTGCTGTTGCAATAAGGAGGGCCATTGCCCACCCCAACTGCTCTTTATCTGAGTGTCTATGACCAAAGCAGCAGGAAGGTGACTTCTGCCTCCTTACTGCCTCCCAGATCTCTCCAGTTCACCGAACCGGCAGAATATAATGCACATCTGGCCTCCTAGCTGCACGTCTGACACACGTGGCTTAAAAATTTCTGGCCACTGCGGTACAAAAAGGAGTTTAAGATGGGTACTCAGTGCCAAACCACATATCTTCTTTACATGATGAGAAAAATTACTAAATGCTTATAATAAGTATTCCAAAGCTTCTCTAAATGGTTCTGGCTTTAACATTTATTTAATGACATTTTTAAAGATAGTTTTTAAAAAATTTTTAATGTTTTATTTATTTCTGAGAGAGAGAGAGAGAGAGACAGCGTGAGCAGGGGAGGGTAAGAGAGAGAGGGAGATACAGAATCTGAAACAAGCTCCAGGCTCTGAGCTAGCTGTCAGCACAGAGCCTGACACTGGGCTCAAACCCACAACCTGTTGAGATCATGACCTGAGCCGAAGTCGGACGCTTAACCGACTGAGCCACTCAGGTGCCCTATGACATTTTTAAAAGTCTGGTGTCTCTGACGACTAGGGGCATGTTCACATTTGCCAAGAGTCCTCTTAATCATCGAGGGTGGCTTCTATCCACCAAAATCACCATTGCAAAATTCAGAGGGCCTCTCATCCATTAAGAGATTGTATCCTAAAAGAGGGTCATCTATTTTCATTGTTTCCATCTTCTAAGTTATAGAGATAATACAAGTATTATTTAGGTCTGCAAAATACAGTAAAAATGCCTCTAATCCTACGTCACTATCACAACGACCACTTCACTCACTCCATGTGCATATTTACATCTTTGTAAATGTCATATTTATATAATTATGCTTTGTTTCTTCACTCAACATTGAATCATAATCACTTCTCATCTTATTGTGTAATATAACCACAATTTTAATGGCCCCATAATAGTCCACTAAGATACAAATTATAGTTTACTCATCCATTCCTCTCTAGTTGAACATTTCAGTTGTTTCCAATTACTTAGTACTATAAGTAATGTTTTGAAGAGGAGCTAATGCATATTTAAACATTTGTGGCATATTCCCAGAAGTGGGAGAATGGGTTAAAAATATATACTGGTTTAAAAAGTATCCATTTAAAATTTTTTTAAATTAATTTTATTTATTTTAGAAAGAGAGAGAGAGAGAGAGAGCACATGAGCAGAGGAGAGGGGCAGAACGAGAGAGAGAAGGAATCTTAAGCAGGCTCCACATCGACATGGGACTTGATCCCCAGACTCTGGGATCGTGGCCTGGGCAGAAATCAAGAGTTGGTCACTCAACCAACTGAGCCACCCCAAAAGGTATCCATTTTTTTCTTTATTATTATTTTTTAATAGTTTATTGTCAAGTTGGTTTCCATATAACACCCAGTGCTCATCCCCAGAAGTGCCCTCCTCCATGCCCATCAACCCTCTTCCACTCTCTCCCACCCCCATCAGCCCTTAGTTTGTTCTCAGCATTCAAGAGTCTCTCATGGTTTGCCTCCCTTCCTCTCCCCAACTATTTTTCCCCTTCTTCTCCCCCATGGTCCTCCATTAAGTTCCTCCTTATCTACCTATATGTGCAAATATATGGTAGCTGTCCTTCTCTGCCTGACTTATTTCGCTCAGCATAACACCCTCAAGGTCCATCCATGTTGCTACATATGGCCAGATTTCATTCTTTCTCATTGCCATGTAGTATTCCATCGTATAGATAAACCACATCTTCTTGATCCATTCGTCAGTTGGTGGACATTTAGGCTCTTTCCATGATTTGGCTTATTGTTGAGAGTGCTGCTATGAACATTGGGGTACATGTGCCCCTATGCATCAGCACTCCTGTGTCCCTTGTGTAAATTCCTAGCAGTGCTATTGCTGGGTCATGGCAGGAGTTCTATGGTTAATTTTTTGAGGAACCTCCACACTGTTTTCCAGAGGGGCTGCAAAAAGGTATCCATTTTTAAATGAGTATCAACAGCTTTTGATTAATGTTTCTTAAAAATCACCTATGGTAAAGACAAATTTTTCTCTGGCAATCACTAAACAGAGAGTTGCTTCTTCTAACTGTGACATCCTTACCATTCATCTACCGGCTGCTACCAAAAATGGGGAACTGGTGCCCTTGGCCTTGAAGCCAATGCTCACACCCCTGTACCTAAAATCCCCAAGGGGTGCCTGGGTTGCTGTGACCTGAACCTTGGGACCAGGGTGAGGGCAGAGTGGGTGCAGCATCTTCAGGATCTTCCCCACCCTTTCATATCTCTCAAGGCCCGGCTTTCCTGACCATAAGGCTTCTTGGGATAAGGGGCCGGGTGCTGTACAAGTGCTAGGTCTTAAGCCCCAGAACGTGCACATTTAGACGTGCAAATGCTGTGCTTTCTTTCATGCAGGCTTCCAAAGACAGATAGGCCATTCTTCTGCTCTCTGATTTCTCCCCTTCTCTCAGACAGAATAAGACAATATTGTCCTCCTCGAAATAACGTGGCTGTGGTTACACTTCAGGAAGTCTTCTTGGGATGAGTTTAAGAACCAGGAGACCAGAGTCTTAAAAGGCAGGTAGATGCAATGCTGCAAGATTTTACTGGGAGCCATTTTGCACCCCACTCCAGAGATCAGCCTCTAAAGACCTTCCAGGCCTATCAGTCCTGAGGACAACGTGCTGAATGAAGGTGCCTGCTCAGAAAGGCATTCTGATGACTACTCATGTCTTGATCAGTGCAGGGTAGGATGGCTTTGGCCTCTTCGTGAGAATGAGAACAATTTTACCTCTATATTACGTGTTTCCAGTGAGAGAAAATTTTTGGATGAAATGAGTGCTCTCCCCAACAAAGCAGCGTAGCACAGGCCCTTGAGTTTTAAACTGTCCCCTCCACGGGATTTCCCGCGTGTTGCACAAAAGGAGTCGGTGCACCAGAGATATCGCAGTGTGCCCTCGTTTCTAGAACTCCATTCCACCACTCCGCCCCCGCTCGGGGTGCCCCCACCCCCCTATCCAGCCATCATAACTGCTCCATAAATGGCATCCGCCATAAGTGCCCCCACTCCAGGCCTTAGGAATGCCAATGCTTGCTGAGCAACACTGTTTGCAAAACCCCGGGCTCTGGGGTAAGATTATCCGTTGTTTCTGATCTCCCTTCAGCCCTGGGTTTGGCCCCTCCGCGGTCCGGGTGACTTTGCCCAGTGACCACCAGCCCCCCTCTGCCCCGCCCGCCCCCAGCGCAGCAGCAGCAGCACCCTGGAGGTAGTACAACTTCCCGGGACACACCAACGTCTCCTCTCGCCCCCGTCCGGTTGCTTGGAAATTTGCACTGGACAGTGACGTCACACAGGAAGGCGGGTCCCCACTATCCCGCACACCAATGGTGGGGCCGCGGATGGCCTCTTCTTTTCCAGCGATTGGTGTCTGGACCCCTTTGCTCCACCCCAGCCCGCCATGGCGTCAGGCGCCGCAAAACCCGGGAGGTGGTGCCCACTTTAAGAAGTGAAGTTTTTCGCCCCCTCCCCCTCCCTGCCCACCTCCTGCAGCCTCCCGCGCCCTGCGCAGCTGGCGGATGGAGCTGCGTCGCGGCGGCGTCGGGAGCCAGGCTGTGGGACGCAGGATGGATGGGGACAGCCGAGATGGCGGCGGCGGCTGCAAGGACGGCGGGTCGGAGGACTATGAGAACCTGCCGACCAGCGCCTCCTTATCCACCCACATGACAGCCGGAGCGATGGCCGGGATCCTGGAGCACTCGGTCATGTACCCGGTAGACTCCGTGAAGGTGAGGCGGGAGGAGACTGTAGGCACGGAGTGAGCAGAGAGGGGAGCGCGCGCGTGTGCGTTTGCATCCCGCGCCAGAGCCGCCTGGAGAGCGCCCCGAAAACACCTCTCCCCCGGGCTGCGGCGGGCGTGGGGCGCGGCGCCCCGTGTCTCGCCGCGAGCGCGCCGCTCCTTCCGCCGCGCGCCTGGGCCCCGGGGGCGCCCCTCTGCCCACGAGGGTGCTCCCGCCGGCGCCCCGCACCGCCGCTCCTGTCGCCTTCCCGACGCTGGCTGCTGGCGGCGCTGCGGCGGCGGAGGGGGATTGGCGAGCCCCCCTGGGCTCGGTGGCGGCGGCGGGGTGCCCGAGGGAGCCATCGGTGCAGCGCTGCCCAGTCTTACCGCGTCTGCCCACGCCGTCCTAGGGCTTAGGGGCCCCAGCGCTTCGTGGCTCCCGCCGGCGCGCCCGGCGTCCGAGCCGCGGCGAGAGGTGTCCCCGCCGGTCTGTGCCGGGTGGCCGCGGTTGCCCACACGTGCGCAGTTTGCTACGGAGCTCGCCGCCGGGAAGCGCTAACCACGCCAGCGCCGAGAAACGTGGCCCCGGCTCGGCCGCGCGCCCTGTGGCCCTGGCGTGTGGGCTGTAGCTTCTGCTCCTGCTCCCCGGGTTTCTGGGGAGGCGTGGGAGGGGTAGGGTTGGTTCTCTCGGTTCTTGGCAGCTCTCTTGGGGATACCGGTTCAGCGACGCCCTACGCGATCCCCTTTTCACGGGGTTTCTGCACCTTTTCCCCAGGAGCTCTGGCGGCCGAGCAGCCTAGAGGCCGTGAGCCCAGCAGTGACATTTGCCTTCTTTTTTTGTTGCAGGAGGCAGGCAGGCAAGGAGAGCGGGAGCTATGCAGCTTTCACTGTGGGTTGTGTAATAGGCGCTCGGCTTGCCCGTCACTTCCCCAGGTAGTTTTACATGCGTTTCTGCAAGGAGGCAGCGTTAGCCAGGAGGAGTTTTCCTGTTAGACTGAGAGCTGCCTTCTGTCCGCCTATTCAGGACACCCAGTGGCAGGAAGGTAATGCGGGTACTATTGACCCCTTGCACTTTTGTAAACAGAACTCAACTAGTTCGTCCAGCAGCCCAGGGATTAACAGAGGAAGAAACTGAGGCGAAGAGATGATGAAATGATTAACCTGCCAGGCTGACACTCCGCCTGTTTCCTCGGACTCCAGTCCTGTTGGGCCTTGGTGGCAGTTATCTTGAAAGGCAGGGCTCGAGGCGCCCCCTCACTGCAGCTGTTATCTTCGCGCTGATGCTGGCCCCACATGCGGCGTGTGAGGACCAGGGTGTCGGACTCAGAAGGGTTTTTCTTCCCAGTCCTGGACAGCTCTCCTAGAGCTAGCCATCAGTGGACAGACACACAGACAGGGATGCAGTGAGGGAAAGAAAGCATGAGCGTTTGAGGAAAGGTGAGGCCCAAGCCTTTAACTGTGCTGCTGGGCCTGAGCCATCACATCTTCCCACCACCCAGCATCCCAGCAGGGAATGGAGGGAATGGCCCTTGCCATTGGGGTTTTGGAGGGCGGGGGGAAAGATCTTGCCTCTTAGGTTTTCAGAGCTTCTCCAAGGAAGACCCTGGACAGATGCCGGGTGGCATTTGTATAGGAAAGAATCCCCCATGGGTAATAAACTTTCCCATATTTGAAGCTGTTGTCTCCAGGGCGCTGGACGGAGTATCTGGAAAGTTAGGGGCAGGGAGATGTTATTGGAGCAGGTACCGGACCCACAGCATCTCAGAGATGAACGGTCCATCGAGGAGCTCTACCGCTTAAGAGATTTTGCTGCATTTGCTGCAGAGCATCCCTGTAACTTATCTTTAGGATTAGAAATAATTACTCATGCCTTTTCATCTCCCTTTTCAACACCCTGAGGAGGCATTGGTCTTACATGTTGAAATTGTGTGTTCTGGTTAGTTTTTTCCCTGCCCCTCCTCCTGCTCTTAAACATCGTCTGTTTTGATACAGATGTCACTGTGTACTTAGTGATACTTTACATAGCAGTTTTCACCCGTGGATAGGTAACAGGGTGTGTGTGGTAGATGGAGCTGGTCGCTGTCCTAGACAAGTCACCCCCCTTACGGGGCTTGACTGTAAACTGAAGGTGAGGGGTTCTTCTGTTTTTAAGCATGCAGGTTTGCTGTCAGAGCACCTCGTTTTCCACTACAACTTTCCTGGAAGTGGGTAGCAAGGATTATCCTTTTCATTTTTCAGCTGAGAGAAAAGGCACAGAGAAAGGTAGTGTGCACCCCCATCCCATGAGCCCAAGGGGGCTGCAGCAGAACGCCAAGTTCTGCCAAGATCAGCTGAATTGTCCGTGCCCAGCATGACGTACCAGGGATGCGTCCATGCTTCAGTCATGGAAATGCTCCATTTGCGGAGACCGCGACTGTATTCTTAAATATTTTGGGTGTTGGAGACCATGGGTAATGGAGTCAGGAGCCTAGGTCGGGTTTCCGGCCCTGCCCCTAACTTGCTTCATGCCTTAGACACTGTTCTTTGCCTTAGGTTCGTTGCTGTAAGAACGGGGCAGTGGACCAGTTCAGTATTTCTCCCCATTCTCAACCCTTCCCCCTTTGTATGTACACAGAACACCCATTGTCCTCCTTTATGATTCTTGAAATTCCAAATAATTATTACAGTTGAAGCCACGTCAGTGTAAACGGTAGGTTGGAAGAAAACGTTTTCTTTGATTTTTTTGATAAGGCACACATTTTGAACTTGGATCACGTGAAGTTAAGAGAGAGTATGGAGTGGGCCTGCTTTCTTCAGTTTTTCAATCCTAGATGGTGGGGACCATGGAATTAGGTGCTGGTCACTTTCACCGCTGAGCCTAACAAACTGCTTGCTTTTGTGGTCACGTGGGCAGAAGGCCAGCCTTACTGATGCTTTAAAGTATTATGTTGAAGGTGCTTTCCCACGAAGTCCTGTCCCACCCCCTGGTGTCGTTTTCATGACCTGCGTTTTTCAAACTGTGGGCTGTGATCCATTAATTGCATCAACATTTTAAGAAGGACAGAGTGGTGAGAGTGCAGAATCCAAGCGTGTGTGGCATCCAATAAGGAGAGTGTTGCTTGGTGGAATTGTGTGTGTGTGTGTGTGTGTGTGTGTGTTCTGTGGATGGCTGTGCAAAATGCTCTTCTGACGGGAGCTCATGGTCTCAAAAAGTGTGAAGAACACTGAACCTCGTGGGCTAACTAATGTCTCTTGAGCTCCAGCAATCGACAGCCTGTGATTATTAAAGCGTTATTTGGAAGACTTTCGGCAGACTTCACTACTTCTTCCTGTGCCCTTCTCTCAGTTCCTGGGGTGGGGGGTGTGAGTACTTACTAGCCCATGAGGGACCCTCCACTCTGGCCCCCCCGTCAGTTCTGAGCCCCTGCCTGGTACCAAAGGAGGGAACACAGGGGAACACTGGTAGCAGTTACACATTCCTTTCCAACTGGGACCTTTGCCGCAGGTTCCCCACGATTCACTAGCCGGCGCTCTGGGGTGGCAAGTGGCATGGTCACCTAGACCAGCATGTCGGGGTGGCTACGAGAAGCCCTGGTCCGGAGCTCGCGGGACTGTGGGGAGAATGCCAGGTGGGTGGAGGAGGAAATTCCATCCAGATTAGGCACACCACTCTAGACCATGCCGAGTCCCGTGGTGGCGAAAGCAGGGGCAGAAGGAAACAGGAAAGATTTGAAGCGAGGGAACTTCCGCTGACCCTTTCTCAGACCTTCGCCTTGCGTTCCTGGTCAGTGAAAGGCTGCCCTTAACTGTGGGGGAGAAGCGCTGATGGTGAGGGTGTGAGGCTCATCCTTCTTTCTAGCGGCCCGTGGGTGCTGAGCCCCTTGGAAATCTCAGTTGGCCCCGCGCGGGGGGAGGGGGGCGCTCCGCAGCTGAGCTCTGAGCAGGAGAGAGCCAGGCAAGGCCAGGAGGCTCAGCACTCCTCACCTTCAGGGTGTGCTCCCCTGGGTCCCAGCGGTGCAGGCTGACTGGTAGGAGGGTTGCTCAGCCATAGTCTCCTCCCACCCGTGTCAGGGCTTTCAAAACCCAGTACAGTTCAGTAGATGCCATTCAGCGTCAAAAGGGCGTGAAATCCCAAATTGCTCCAGTTCTTGCAAGAAAATTACAGTGATTTTTCTGTCTCTCTTCTCCTGTCTTGTCTCCTTCTTGTCCCACCCCTCCCTTCTTTTCTGTCCCCAAGTGGGAAGTGCTTTTCCAAAAGGGTCGTTTGGGAGGGCCCTGGAGTCAGAAAGGAGTGCCCTTAAACTCCTGTCCTGTTCTTTACCATGAGCACCCTTGCTGCTGTCCAGAGCCCTGATCTGCACCTTGCAGGCCTGCCGCTGTAGGAGGGGTGGATCTGACCCAGCCCCTCTGCCGGAAGTGGGGGTGGGGTGGGCTGGGGCAGAGGCCTTGAGGGGGTGCCCCTGGGATTCTAGTGAGCAGGGAAGGTGCCATCACCTCGTCACCTCTTCATAGAGAGAGGCAGTTGGGGGCTTCATGGGAGATTTAACTGTCGTTTAAAGCATTCAGGGGTGTGCACGTAACACGGGGGTGGGGTAGGGAGAGGGCCTTGCTCTGTGAAGTGTTCTTCCTCAGCCTTTTCCTGGTTTTCATCTGGGCACGGTTTAACTAGTGTTGGCCATCTCATTCATGAGGGCTTTTGTCTCATCTGCTCTTTGGAGCAATAACCAACTGTAGTCCCACTTTCCCTTTTTTTTTTTTTACGGGTTTTTGACCCCCTTCCAACTCCAGTAGGGCTGCCTTTCCCCAACCCACTGGATGAACTGGCGTCTGTGTGTTGAATGAAGCCTTTGGCAGTTAAGCCCCAGAATACTCTGGCTCTCTTCATATTGCTCCTAGTGCCCAACATTTCCTTCTCAGCGAATTTTCTTTCTCTTTTTTTAATCTTCAGTGAGCCCTTTTGCCTCACGAGTGACGCATCTCTACAGCCATGCTGTTTGCCCAACGCTTCAGGAGGCTCTGTGAGCCCTACGCCCGCCCTTCCCCTCTCCACCTCCACCTCCAGTGCTCGTGGCTGACATTTTTCATAGGGGAGATGTATCTAATCACTTCGTCTCCAGATATAAACCTTCCATCAAGCTCTTTCTGAGCCGGATGTGTCGCCCTCAGAGAACTATCCTGTGGAGATTGGAGATTCCCACCCTGGTCTTTGCCTTACTGGTTGGGGCAGGACACTTAGCTTCTCTGGGTTGTCATTTCTTTATAAAATGCAGACACTAATTTCCTGACCCAGCTTTCCATGGCTTTCTTCTTCCCTTAATATTGGTCCAACCCTGTGGAAGTTCCTCGTAACAGGCTCCCTTGTGTCCTCACCCCGGTTTGCTCCTGCCTGCCTGTGCCAATAGAAATTCAGCTCTCCTCCTGAGCCACTCCTCCCTGGAAGCCAGTCACGTGTAGGATTCCCATCAGCTCAGACCCAGGCACCGTTACCGACCATGCTCTTCTCAGCCTCTCCTTCTTTGTCGCTCCTCTCCTCCTCCTCCTCCCCCTGTCGCCCGCTCACCTCCGCCAGGAGGCGGACTGGTGAGGATCAGGGACTCCCGAGCCCTGTGTGGACTGGGTCCTGGCTCCCCTTAGTGTGGCCTTGGGCAAGTCCCTTCTCCTCTCTGTGCTGAGTTTACTGTTTGTGAAAAGGAGGCAAGTGGTCCCTCTGTCTGCTAGTGGATGGAAGGGTTCAGTCCCTAAAGCACTGAGGACAGCACCTGCTATGCAGTGAGTGCTCTCTGGGGGGTCTTCACCAACACTATTTTGTAGCCACTCCCCCCCATGCCCCCAGGGCTTTGGTGGCTGGCCCACAGACTACTCCCACCACCGATGAATCCCATCATCGTCCTGAGGATGCCCCCTCCTGGGCACCACCCGACTAACATCCAAATCCCTGTGTTCTTTATGCCCCTCAGGCTGATGGCGTTTACCTCCGTGGGGCCTCGTCCTAACCCAGAACTTTGCCACCTCCGAAGTCTTGAATCCCGACGTCTCAGCCTGGCTGCACTGGGCTGGGTCTCAGCCTCTTCTCCCCTTAAGCCTGTCCCCGTCTTCCTCATTCAGACCAGGGCCTGTGGCCCACTCAGCACATCCACTCCAGGGGCCTCTCTTCCCCTGCCTTCGGTTCTTCCGCACCTGCCTGCCCACACCCCAGTCCGGGATGCCCCGTTGGGCAGCCGAGCCCTTCCGGAGAAACCCCCCACATTGCCTCCTTTGGTGCCCTGTATGCCCACTTCTCTGGGGCCCTCAGCCTGTCTTTCTGTGGCTTCTGGTCGGTCTCAACAGCTGCTCCAGACCATGCTCTTGCTTCTCAAATCCCCTTCCCTCTGCTTTTTCAGCCTCTGCGTGGCATCTTGCTTGCTCTAGTTCATACAGAAACCAGAACCCCAGTCAAGCTCACCTTCCTGTCCCTGTCCTTCCAACCAGCGTGCTGTTCCCCACCTTCCTACTGTCATAAGGTAAGAGGGCCCTTCCTCTGTTAGAGGGGAGCCAGCAGGCCTAGGGAAAAGGGGTGTGGGGACCTCCCACATACACCTGCACTTCAGGCCTGGCCCTGCACCTGGGGCACATTAGTGACCTCTCTCAGCGCTGTCTCCTTGTCCGCAGAGTGGGGATGGTAATGCTGAGGTCAACCTTGACAGAAGACTGTTGACCGAATTGAACGAGGGAACGTGCCTAAAGCTCTTGCTGCAGTGGCTGCTGCACAGGCGCTCTATAAATGGCCGTGGTGGCAGTCATTTTGGTCACTCTCACGAGCAACTTGGTTTTGGTATCTTTAGCCTTCCCCCTGACCGGCGATTCCTTCCTAAAAGCATGTATACAGTCCAAACTTGTCCCGTCTTAAATAACAGACAAAGCCCAGACATCTCCCCTTGACCCCGAGTGCCCTGAGGGTTTTTCTCCTTAAAATAACAAGTGATGGGCTCCTGGGTGGCTCAGTCAGTTGAGCGGCCGACTTCAGCTTAAGTCATGATCTCGCGGTTTGTGAGTTTGAGCCCTGTGGTGGGCTCTGTGCTGACAGCTCAGAGCCTGGAGCCTCCGGATTCTGTGTCTCCCCCTCTCTCTGCTCCTCTCCTGCTCATGCTCTGTCTCTCTCTGTCTCTCAATAATAAAAAAAACATTAAAAAAGATTTTTAAATAACAAGTGTTATGACAGTAACATTGGTACTCGGTCTCTACTTCCTCACCTGTCCACTGGCCAGGCCTTTGGCTTTGTGCCCACCACTCGGCTGCAACCTCACAGAAGCTGCTGGTGATCTCCTTGTTAATAAATCTACTCGTCGTTTTCCTGGCCCCTCTGATGGGGGGTGGCCTCCTGGTCTTGCATAGAAACCAGCCCACCCCCCTCTTTTCCTCCCTCAGGACGCATGTCTCAGTTTCTGCCTGGGTCCTGGTAATTCGCAGATGGCAGATTGGTGGCTTTGGTCTCGTCTTCCCAGGGGCTGGGTGTCCTGTTGCCTCGCAGCCATGGTGTAGACGTGGCTGCCTCGGTGTCCGTGATGTCCACGCCCCTGCTGGCCCGTCCCTCAGGAATTCGTGGCCCTGGTCAGCTTTCCTCTCACTTCTGCCCACTGTCCCCCCCGCCCCCCGTATGTTTCCAAGACCCTTCTGTTTCTGCATCTTTAATAGTTCCTTTCATTTGTTCTTCTCCCTCCCACTGCGGCCACCTGGGTTCAGGGGAGTCACGGTCTCCTTTGCAGTGATGGCTTCCCTGACGACCTGAGTCATAACTGAGTGTGCCCTGCCTCTCCTCGCCCCCGCTCCCCCCTTGCCTGGTCCTGCTGTTGTTCCCCACCGCATGTGGTACCTTCTAACACACAATGCCCTTTACTTCTATTTATTACTTCTATTCCTTGTGTGTTTATTTATATGTTATTTATGGTTCGTCTGCCCTTATTTGGATGTAAGCTCTAAGTGGGTGGGAATCTTTTGCTCTTTTGTTCTCTCGTTTGTTCCTGTAGCCAGAAACCATACCCAGTGCATAGTAGATGCTCAGTTAAGGATTTGTTGAATGAATCACTGTAAATCATTCATAGCTAGCTGGTCCTGGTCACTCTCAGCTCTGAGGCCTCCAGCGTCCTGGCAGGCTGCAGTTTTCTTGAGCAGGGAAGAGGCACAATGCCCATCCTGCCCGCCTTTCAGGTCCAGTTACTGCATCTGGGATGAAAATGCAGCCAGATTTGCAGTGAACTGTGCTTAAACAGTGAACACAATTTCAAAAGTATAAAGCTCGCTGCAGGTGCCAAGTCATGGTTATTATCAGACTGGGATCCTGTTAAAAGGTAAGGTTAGCTGATTGGGATGGAAAATCCAGCCTGTTCTTCAAGTGCAGCAGATCCCGCCGGGGGGTGGGGGGGGGGGGGGGGGGGCTGCAGACCAGCCCCATCATCTGCCTCTCACATAGCCTGGAGTCTCTCTCCGCCCACTCCCCCAGCTGTCCTCTCTGCTTTCAGAATAAAGCCTGAACCCTGAGTAGTGTGCAGAGGGCCAGAGCCTCCTCCCTCTGACTTGTCGGCCAGAGCAAGACCGATAAAGGTGTTCTGTGAATACCGGTTGGATGAATGCAGGCATAGTTGTTTTACAGAGATGCGGGGGGAAACAGTGCTTTGAAATAAGCTATTAAAAAATGCTATTTTAATTTCATTTGTTGTGTGTGTGTGTTGTTTTTGGATCTGTATGGATCTTCCCCACAGAAAGACTTTCTCAGCCCTTTTGTTGGCCTTTCTTTTTTTTTGCAGTGGACTCACAAGTCTCAGTTTTACCCCGGTGAGGCTGTTAATTCATCTGGCCGCCCACTTCATTCCACATTTACTGAGCGCCTTCCTTGCCAGGCTCTGTGCTAGACACCGGGCAACAAAAATAAGTCCCGGCCCCTGTTCCCAGGGCATTGCTCCCTATAATTAGACCCTGAGCTAAGGGTCTAAAGGGAGGACTGGCTCTCTTTGACGAGAAGAATGGCCCAACTTGGTATTTGCTTTCAGACAGGCATAAGGTCTGGGGCGTCTGGAGTCTGGACTCGGGCTGCCATCTTGCAGGTCTGGGGCCTGCTGGGAGCATCATTTCCGGCTTCTTTGCTGAGCAATCTTGAGTTGGCTCCTTCCCCTGGAGGAGACAGTGGCCCTCAGTTGTACTACCTGCACCCCTCCCCCCGATCCTCTTCCTTACCCCTGAGGTCATTAGTCATTCTGGAAGCTGAACTTGGCTTCCAGAAGGTGCCTCTGAAAACACTCTCCACCCTACCAGTAATCCCAGACAGTCGGGAAGGGCCGTTGTCTGGTCACCAAGAGGTGTTCTGGTTTCACATTCGTGCTTTCTCTCTGAAGAGAAAACAAAACGTGTTGAAATAGAGATCCCAGCAGCAGCTTGGTTGAAGCAAGAATTGCGTAACGGCTTTAAGAAACGTCTGGCCCTCATTGGGTCAAGTGAGGGGCTGCAGCTTCGCGTCACTTGAGGGGACTTTTCTCTGGGGCTTCTGGGTGAGAGACACTGAAAGCGTTGGCCCCCGAGGCCTAATCTCTCCCTGTAGTGACAGCTTTTGTTCCCAGGCCTGGAAGTGAAGGCTGCATTTGAGATGCTCCTGTGGGCAGGGGCTGGGCAGGGGTGTGTGTGCATTCAGGCTTGTGCTGGCCTTCAGGCTCCTAGAAAGGGCACCAAACTGGGGCAGGATAGGCTTTAAGAAGTTAAATCCTGGTCCTGCCATTGACCAGCTTTGAAACCTTGGGCAAGTTACTTCTCTAGGCTGGTGGCTCCTTGTCTGATAGACGAATACTAGTCTTTTTTTTTTTTTTTTTATGTTTTATTTCATTTGATTTATCTAAAAATCTTTAAAAAGTTTTTTCAAATACTTATTTTTGAGAGAGAGCGTGAACAGGGGAGGGGCAGAGAGAGAGTAACACAGAATCCAAAACAGGCTCCAGGCTGTCAGCACAGAGTCCAGTGTGGGGCTTGAACTTGAGAACCATGAGATCATGACCTGAGCCAACATTGGATGCCTAGCCAACTGAGCCACCCAGGTGCCCACCCCCAATTTTTTTTAATGTTTATTTATTTTTGAGAGAGAGAGAGAGACAGAGTGTGGGCGGGGGAGGGGCAGAGAGAGAAGGGGACACAATCCAATGCGGCTTCAGGCTCTGAGCCATCAGCATGGAGCCCAACATGGGGCTCGAACTCATGGACCGCGAGATCATGACCTCAGCTGAAGTTGGATGCTTAACCGACTGAGCCACCCAGGCATCCCTGTTTTTTATTTTAAATGTTTATTTATTTATTTTGAGAGAGTACACATGTGCAAGCGGAAGAGGGGCATTGAGAGAGAGAGAGAGAGAGAGGGAGAGAATCCCAAGCAGGCTCCACACTCTTAGCTCAGGGCTCAATCTCAGGAACTGTAAGATCAAGACCTGAGCTGAAATCAAGAATTGGAGGCTGAACCAACGGACTGAGCCACCCAGGCTCCTCTGATACTAGTCTTAGACTAACATCGTCTGTTTCCCTATTTGATGGGCCTGTTGAGAACCTCGGGTGGGATCTCACTTGTGGGCAGCTTTTCTAAACCCTGACCTGCCCAGATAATGACAGGTCATATCAGAGGCCATATGCCTTAGGACTGAGAGCCGTTCAGGTTAGCAGTGCAGGATCTGGGGCCAGACTGCCTGGGCACGGTGCCTAGACACACCTCTCTGTGCCTGATTTTTCTCATCTGTAATACAGTGATAATAACAGTACCCACCTCCACGTTGCTATGAGAATTATGATACTGAATTATGATACACCTAGCAGGTTAAGAATAGCATCAGGTACCTGGTAAGCACTGAGTTCATTTTAGCTCCTATATCATTTCTAAAAGTGTTATTGCTTGAAAGCCTGGTTATGCCACTGTGTGTGGGTTTTGTTTTTTTTTTGTACTTGTATATTGCCGTATTTTTTATTGTTTCAATCTACCTTCTGTCATTTGATTCTCTTAGCTTTCCTTTGCAAGTGGGAAAAGGCATGTGCTGTTTCACATTTCACAAATGAGAAAACCCAGCTTCAGAAAAATAGCATTTTCTGCTACACCAGAGCGAAGGGGGGACAATGAGGAAGGCAGCAGGTGAGAGCAAGCAAGTGAGGTGCTGGGAAGTAGACTCACATGTTAATGGCAGCAGAGCCCCTGAGCTGGGTTCTGAGAGGAGATGATGATGTGCCCCAGCTGCATTCTTGGGAGGGAGGGATTGGAATTATAGGAGCGCCGGCAGGGAATCAAAGTATGGCATGGAATGCAGGGCTCCAACGTATATGTAAGAGTTCTTTGGTCAGATACTCCAGTACAGAGGGCAAGAGGATGATGGCAAATGGTTAGTTACTGCTGTGGATGAGTTGTGGCTTCTCCCTCTGGAGTAAATTGCAGAGGCACCTTCTCATTTCATCAGGGAGTTGAAAAGTTGGGCTCAGTATAGTGATTTGAATTTGGACTGGCCCAAGA